ATGTTGAAATAAGAGAGAAGAGAGGGAGGGGAAGGGAGAGGGGGAGGAGATATAGATAGAGGGGAGGGAGAAGGAAGGGGGGAGGATAGAGGAGAGGGAGAAAGGAAGGGGGGAGGGGGGAGGGAGGGAAGGAGAGAGGGGAGAGAGGAGGGAGGGAGGGAGGGAGGGAGGGAGGGGAGGGAGGGAGGGAGAGAGAGAGAGAGAGAAGAGAGAGAGAGAGAGAGAGAGAGAGAGAGAGAGAGAGAGAGAGAGAGAGAGAGAGAGAGAGAGAGAGAGAGAGAGAAAGAGAAAGTGAGAGAGAGAGAAGGAGAGAGGAGAAAAAAAATGCAGAAATTACACATGGTCCAAGCGTATCGACCAAGTATGAGGAAAAGAGCAAAATGAGTAACCAGCAGGCAGCGTACGAATGAGGGGGAAAGAGGGAAGGGGGAGAGAAGTTATATTGCAAGTAAGATGAAGTGCAATGGCAAGGAATCAATGAATGTATCGTACTGTAAATGACACTGTTCTCGGTACGATAACTGTCCACTTTCCTCATACTTTCAGCCGCACAAAGGTGACCACTTACCACACAAAGTCTAACTTGGTACTCCACTTTCCTCACACTTTCAGCCGCACAAAGGTGACCACTTACCACACAAAGTCTAACTTGGAACTCAGAGCCAAAGTTAGGGCATGTCAGAGCCTAACTTAGAACGCCAAGACTTTGCTTCTGTCTTCGAATACTTTGCTAAGTTGCTTCAAGTCCTCGATGTCAACAAATCAAAATGATCTTTGACTTCGTTCTGATGCGTGCGTGATGTGAACGAACCTTTTTTTTTAAATTCTAATGATCAATATTTCAGCAAGATTCAAGGTTTTGGCGATCAAGAGTGAACTGAATGAGGTGCTTCTATTATTCATGATTTATTGATATCGGATATCATTTCATAAGCTCAGGTACTTTTCGTTGTAATATTTCACGGAAATCTATACATACCGTACCAATAAAGGCCATTTTTGGTATTACTTTATTACACTAAGTCCACTAG